TTTGAAACCACTTCGTAAAGGTTATGGTCTTCATCTGAAAACATATTCAAGTGGAAAATGTTTAAAAAAAAGCTCGAAGTAACTGTACCTAATCGAGCATTGACAGATCATGATATAAGAAAATATGCTAAAATAATAAAAATTGCAAATTTTCGAGGTGTTTTCATGCGTGATGCTCTATCGACCGATGGTCCTCGATATCAAGAGACAGCTATTGTAAATTTAGATAATAAACGTGGACCAGGTAGTCATTAGGTAGCATATAAAAAGAAAGATGATGAGGTTATGTATTTTGATAGTTTTGGTAATTTACAGCTGCCTATAGATCTATTGCTTTATCTCAAAGTTAATATAATCATGTATAATTATATTAGATATCAAGATTTTAATACATATAATTGCGGTCATCTTTGTCTCAAATTTATTTTAAACAAACTATAGAAAATAGAACTAGTATAAAAAATACTCATTCGACGAATGACTATCATTTGATATGAATCTGTCATGGAGAATACACTGACATTGAGTCTCTCGGAAACATCATCCGTACTCGAATCATATTATTTTCCACCGATCGAATTGATACCAAACAAAAAATACGTTCTTGGTCTAGTTGAACTATTAACATTTAATTCAATACCAAACATTGACGTTGGTTATAATAAATTTTACATTGAAGGTCAAGAAGCTATCACTTTACCGACTGGTAGTTACGAAATAGAAGATATTGAAAGCTTTCTCAAAGAAGCATTAGCTCCTAAAGGTATATCGTTTAGCCTGAAACCAAATAATAATACTTTACGTAGTGTCATTCAGTACAGTCAAAAAGTACATTTTGAACCAGAGAATTCTATTGGATCAATTTTAGGCTTCACTAAACGCACGATCGTTGAAAAAGAAACACATAGTTCTGACTTACCCGTCACTATACTCAAAGTCAACGCTTTTCGTGTAGAGTGTAATATTACTATAGGCTCTTACATAAACGATCGCAAAGTACATACTCTACATGAATTTTTCCAGTAGTCCCACCTGGATATAAGATTATAGAAGTTCCCTTTCACGTCATTTACCTTCCAGTCGTTGTGAGGAGCATTGATCATTTTCAAATTCGTATAGTTGATCAAGACGGAAACCTAGTTAACTTTCGAAGAGAAGTCATCACAGTGCGAGTACATATAAAGACCATATCTTAGTAATGGATATCATTTACAATATAAAGAGCGGCCGAGGCTATATTAAAAGACAAAAATGTCAAACAGCAGCCAGTCAATAGCGAGTTATCAGACCGCTCACACCTCAGAACATTCAATTCCTGAAAAGCTTGAGACTAAAAGTCGTCGAAAATCGTGGGAGAAAATATTGTGCATATTAGTGTGTTGTATAAAACAACAACAACAACATTATGGAGGGAATTTTAGACATTCATTCAGCTGTCGCTTTCGATGAGTCTATAGCCCATTACAAAGTTCATGCGCATCAGCCTTATTCATTATCATATTTCAATAATAGCGATGAAATCCATATAGCAATTCAACAACAAGATTTATCTCTGCTTCCATCACACAGTAGGATTCATATTTGTGGTCGGTTGATCAAACCAGACGGTACTACGCCAGTGGAGAACACCTTATTAGTCAACAACGCTCTCTGTCATTTGTTTGAGAAAATACGATATGAAATAAATGCTATTGAAATTGATAAAGTGAAAAATGTAAGCTTAACGGCCCTCATGAAAAATTGACTTTCACTCAATCCATGTCAGAGCTCTATCGCTGAAAATGCCGGATGGAATGGTGATAACAATGAAGTTCTAATATGTAATGCTTTAGGTTTTTTTGATGTAACTATCCCTCTTAGTATGTTGATGGACTTTGCTGAAGATTATCGGAAAATTGTAGTCAATGTCAAGCATGAACTTATTCTCACAAGATCAAGAGATGATTTGAATGCCATTTTAAGTATTCCAGTAAGGAATCCTGATGCTTCAGAAAAATAAAAAATTACTTTAACTAAGGTTGAATGGTTGATGCCATATGTGATGGTTGCAGACAAAGAAAAAATCAAATTACTCAATCAGATTGGACGAGATCGTGCAATTGCAATGAGTTATCGTACTTGGGAAATGTATGAGTATCCAAAATTACCACGTACATCAAAGCATGTTTGGAATATTAAGACTTCCAATCAATTCGAAAAGTCTCGCTTAGTTATTTTAGCTTTTCAAACTAAACTAAGTTCAGCGAGTGTTAATTCTAGTAATTTTGATCATTGTAATATTAGTAATGTGAATCTATGCCTCAATTCACAATGCTATCCGTATGGAAATCTTAAGTTGAATATCAATCAAAATCAGTATGCTGTTCTCTACGATATGTATACTAATTTTCAAAACGCTTATTATGGTAAAGAAAACGAGCCATTACTCAATAAAAAAGATTTCATTAATAAAGTGCCGCTAATAGTTATAGACTGCTCCAAATAAAATGAAACATGAAAAATCGCGCCAGTCGATGTTCGCCTAGAATTAGAAACTCTGACTGATTTTCCTGAGATACTACAGCCTACTGCTTAATATTACACGATCGTATTGTACAATATAATCCAATTAGTGGTGATGTTAAAAAATTAGTTTGAAATTAACAAGACATTATGTAATCAATGTATACAATGCTTTTCAATAAAAAAGAAAATAAAATATATATATTGTTGGAATTTAATAAAAACTACCATTAATCATACTATATAGTGACTATGACTGAGAACATTTTTTTCAAGATACAATAATAGTATCATTTAAAATTTTTTAATGATAGCATAAAAGTTTTTTTTGATATTTTTAAATCTAAATTCTCGTTCACTATGAAGACTGTCTGATATAACTTTGTTATCATCAGATTTAGTCTTGGTAAAAATAAAAGAAAAACAGATCTTGAATGGTTGAGTTAAGAAGACTTTAACTTAAAAATAGGATTGAGAATACTGCCACTAATCATTTTGTTATTTCACTGAAAATTACTCTGGAAAGGCCACTGGAAAAGCCTCAGGAAATATCTCTAGAAAGACCACTGGAAAATCCTCTGGACAGGTCACTGAAAAATGTCTCTGAAAACTATTTCAGTTTAACAGTAGATACTGGTAGTTGAAGGTGAACCTTTATCCTTAATAGAAGGCTGAAAGTCCTCAGAGAAATCTGAAGCTGGTTGAGCCACTCTAATTAATGGTCTGAATGATACGATGAACTGATCTTTATACTTTTGCTCAGAGCGCTCAGAGCTCTCTATCCCACCATGTCACATTTTGGGAGAAGGGACAAGATGGTCCATAAGGAGTAGCCCTCTGGTAAGTTCTGAGATCAGTTCTGAGTAAATTTGTGACGTTAGAGAAGATTTGATTCCAGTTTCTACTTATAATCCAATATATTAAACAAGTATCATCAACATTCGTGTCGTAAGTTAACAAGAAACAAGACTCGACCAATCGTTGTTGTACGTGGGCGAGATAGGAGACGAGGCTAAACATTTACTTTTAATGTTTGTAAAGCTATGAGGTAACAACTGTTTGCTATAGATTCATTGATTTAAGCGAAAAAGAAGTTAGCCACACAAACAAAACAATGATGAAAGAAAAATTGGAATATGCGGGCCGAGACCTGAACAGTTATCAATAATTGCAATTCTCATTTTGTATAATGCATTTTTTTAGGTGATTTTTATTTCATTCGTAATTTTATATTAATATACAAGTCATCATTGTAAATGCTAATAATATTCGCCACAAACGCATGTTAAATTATATATTTGAATTGTTTGTAAATTTTAAAAGAGAGTTTTGAAAGACCTTGAGAAATTTACATAGATATGTTTTCGGTCATATTTATTATCTAGTAGCTCTTGTTTGCAAATTCAAAGTCATGAAAAATAATACAGGACTATTATAAAAGAGTGTTTTAGATAGTTCTTGTAAAAGGATACAAAATGATGCAATTTGAATTTTCTTACGATTTTTTTTACGATATAGATAGGAGTCAAAAGTATACAAAAAAATCGAATTCTCCAAAGTGAATTATCGTTAGAAACAATTAGAGAAACGTATCAGTCGTATTTGATATATTTACATCATTTAAAAGGTCTTGAAAATACCTTTCGAAGGTTAGTTTCTCTACGAATTTTTAATTGAGATATTTAACTTTAAAGTTTTGAGAAATCTCAGTTTGGGTGGGAAAAAGTAATTGACTGGCACTGTACATTATAGGAATTTGTCAGCCAATCTAAACTATTATATATAGTCCTATTCACAAAGGTACAATTAATATAAGGTTTTCATAAGAGCGCTATTATAACGTCATGCTTTACCTACCTAACAGTACTATAAAAACTAATAGAATTGTTAGTCAAATACTCATTTGAGACTCCTCATGGTTTTTCATTAATATTTTTTTTCGTTGATAGTTCATAAAAAGTATGATATATTTAATTTAGTTTCAACTATAAGATTTTTCACAATTTATGGAAAATTAATCAAACAAGGGAACGTTTCCAACCCTCCGCTATCGATTTTGCTGCAATTTGGATATGTTATAGCATATTGAATAATAAAAAATAAGTGTTTTTATTTATTGACGGAAAAAGCTTTCTAAGAGGTGAAAGCCACCCTCGATTATTACCTCTCAGAGCAGTTTACTATTAATATTTTTGGTTTAAAACAATATTTTTCAATGAAACAAAATAGAAAAAATTTGCTTAGGAAAAACCAACTGACTTTTATTTTGTTTCATTGAAAAATATTAATTGAAATAAAAAATATTGATAAAGAGTTGCTCTGAGAAGTGATTTTCTAGGGTGGCTTTCACCTCTTAGCAAGATTTTTCCGCCGATAGAAAAACAGGTATTTTTTATTTTTCAATAAGCTAAGTTGCAGCTAAATCGGAGGCAGTGGGATAAGATTATTCCCTTGTAATAGATTTTTGGTTCAATAATACCAATTAGTATTAAGTATACCTGGAAGAATACCGTGAAATATATGACAGTTATAGTAGTGGTCATAAACATAGGTTGTAGTGGAACATTTTCTGCATTGATTAATAAAACCAAAGCGAATGCAACAGCACCTCGTAAGCCTCCATACGACATTACAAACTTTTCCACACTAGTTAACTTATGAAGTCGAAACTGATTTGCTAAAGCAGTCAAAACAGCAACACCTATAAAAATATAAATTTCTGTATATTTCTTCTTTGCATATATTCGTACTTTATTATAATTGAGAGAATAGTTTCTTTATAATTAAAACATAAATATATATATGTATATATATATATTTATGTATATATTTATATATATGTATATATTTATATATATGTATATATTTATATATATGTATATAGTATTCAAAAATATAAATTTTTCCATATCAATATATCATATAAGTAATATTTTTCATTGTTTTTCGATATTAAAAATCGAAAGTCCTATAATTGTATCTGAAATTCTGTATTTGACGTGATTTTTTTATTTCAATATTTATTGCTACAACTAATTTTTCTCTAATTTTAAGTGATACTGTTTATAGAAAAATGCGTTGAACAGTAGGGCAAGCCCGGGCAATATGTATTATGTGGGTAAAACGAATTAGTCCGACTTCTTAAATATTATCATAGGTGTCGTATGGGATATACGTACATAAATATAACGTGGAACCATCTACCATATGTCAAAAGAAAGTTATCTCTTTTAGTAAATAGAGAGCAATGAATATTGATAAATGTTTTCCAAGTCCACCGTTTTTATTTTTCACAGATATGTATGTTATTTTATTTTTAGATTGTGACGAGGGGAAAGAGGACGAGAAAATCGATAGAAGGAATTTCCTCGGCCTCGTCCGCCATCGAAACCAGTGATGGTGCACGCTCGCTCAGAAAAGGGAATCAATCAACGTTGGTTGCAGCTTTATTTATTAATTTGTATTCGGCCTCAGCCACCGTTCTAACGTTAGGCGGACAAGTAGAGTTGCAAGTTGGCTGATTCGAATGTGTCCACGCGCGGAGAAGGAGAAGAGGCTGCTGCTACTGAGGGCTGCTGCTGCTGAGGGCTCCTGCAGAGTTCCTGAGCGGCTATCTCGTTGATTCGCCCTATCCTATTCGGCCACCTGTAAATATCAAAAGGAGGCGGGGTGAAAAGGCTAATCAACTAACGAGACCAAGGGGGTGGTCGGCTAGTCAAACGTGTCGGTGAGCGGGCTCTTCCTCAGAAACGGGTAGTCGAAGTGGCTCCTCCAGGATTACCTCGTTAGTGAACAGTTACACAACAGTTGCACAATGGAACTGCGGTGGCGCACAGTTAAGATAGCATTGATGTGTCGATGAGCGCTAGCCTGCCCTACAGATTGTAATGTAGAAAGAAAAGAACACTAGTCATCGAAAAATGTCAATTTATTTACCCAACCCCCAATGTCTGCCTAAAGTCAAACTGCTTTATGTTCTTCTCTGTTTCTATGCTCCTATTTCCAATCTATCTGCTCAAGATCAAGCTACTCTATATTCCTCCGCTGTTACTATGCTGTTATTTTAATCAAAAGACGCGAAAGTCAACCTAGCGATTTGTTCAACTATCCGCATCGACGTCATTCCCTATTGCGCTGCACAAGAGACATTTCCCTTATTAGACGCACCACGGCTCTATCGCAGCCCCCACTAGCAAAAACTACAAGTTAGGTCTATCGGCAGGTCTAAGAGCACTCAAGAACAAAAGGTGACAACCTATCACGCACCATCGGTTAGTCGCGGGTCAATCGGTTGAGGTCGTGGATCCACGAGCCTTATGCTAATTCGCGCACTCCCGATAACGATACAGACTTAATGCGGTACTCACAGGTGATGTGTTGTCATCTGACCCGACATGGCTTTTGTTCTCTCTTTTTCTCACCATGGTACCCAAAGGAAAAGTTATGGCTTCACTGGTTTAATGATCCGATCCCGGCTCGACTCCGACTTCCAGGAGAATAGGTCGTGACTAGCGCAGCGTCATGTCGCGTTCCTTTTGTTTCTCTTCCTTTTCGGACGTGAACTTTTCTTTCATTGGATAATTATGTCGTCAACCCGATCATCATCGCCGTCTATTTCATTACTTTAGCCCCTGTAATTTTGTTACTGCGTCAGTTTGTCCTATTTGTCGGACTACACCTATCTCTGTTATCATTGGCTTATCGAGAGGGCGCGCGCCGGTTGGTCTAGCGTTATCCGCATTGTTTTCGTCTAACCTTTGCCCCCTCATGCTCATTAGGTCATGCTCATCTATCGGTTATCTTGCTCGCATGTTCCCTCTCTCTCTCTCTCTTAGCTCCATCTCACGCCTACTCGTGTTCCACATCGGTTGACTTGCTTGCACTCATGCTCTCGTTTCGCCTGCTGCCTCTGGTTCACGCTCCTTGCCGGTTCATTCACAATATGGCCGCCGCTCGGCTCCCGCATCAACGTCGCGTCTCGTCCCCGCTCTTCGTGATTTTGTCTCGGTGCTCGCACGGTCGGTTGGGGTGTGTATATGTGTGTGTCGGGCTGTCTTTCCAGATATGTTGATTGGGTGCGTTCAGTGTTAGTGCATATGTGGTGTTCCTCCAAGTGCGGTCAGCTATCAGGATTAGCTTATTTCGGCTGCAATCTTTTTCGTCGCCTAGTTTTCTGAAGAAGCATCGGTCTGAGTTCCTGTATGTGAGTATATGTGCGGGGGTGTAGGGACGGTGCGCATCGGTCGGACAGGTCCTAAGAGGTCCTATTTTTGTGAGATCTCAAAGCGATAATTAGGCGCGGATATGTGAGTTATAGCTGCAACAACTGATTGGTCGTTTGCATCCTCTTATCAGGAGAGGATTTAGCATATGTCGCGCGAATTTTGTATGTGCGGACTTTTCTTGTGATGACGCATCATCACAAGATTACCAAAAGCAAGTGAATGCATAGTCTTTATATTTCTATTTTTGTTCAACTGTTAATAATTATTTTAACTTTTACAGTTAATTAATTAATAAAAGTAAATAATTAACTTAAGCATTAAATTATCATTCCCGAATAAAATGAATTAGGTAAGATGAATCAGGTATCCGTTTTACCAGGATAGAGAATTTGAGCTTTTTTCTTTATTTAAGCAAGTTTAAAAGATTTATATGTACGAGTATGAGTGGAAGACGATCCGAAGCAGTTGGTCAGAAGAATCTTTCAAAATTACAGTGGATAACGTTAAAAATATGATTTCCGTAAGATCAAGTGTCTTCAAGTATAACATTCCAATTTCTACTTTAAAACGACATATCATACCAGATACTGTCCATAAAAAACTGAGTAGATTTGAAACTATTTTCAGAAATGAATAAGTGAATGAACTTTGTAAATACGTTAAAATGGATTTATTATTACTTGGTGTGATCTGAGGTGAGTTTCAAAGATTAGCTCATAATTATGAAAAAAAAACCACAATAAAACATCTATTCGAAAAATGAATTGCTGGTGATAATTGGTTCAGTGGTTACAAAAGGTACTTAGGTATGATCAGCAGTTCTGAACGAGAGCAACTAACTGCTGTCATTTATTGTTGCAATGCTGCAGGATCGTTTATTCCACCATATTTTATCTTTGCTCGAAAAATTTATTTATTAAATGATGCTCCTTCAGGCTCAAACAATAATGTTAGTGACAGTGGTTGGACTAATGTCCTATTTTTATAGAATAGCTTAAATTTTTTCCTGTAAATGTTCGCCTAACAATATAAAATCGTTTTGCTATTGCTAGGCAACCATGAATCACATAAATATTATCCTTCTTTATAATTTGTTAATTATAACAATATAATTTTATATTGTTATAATCTTTGTTATAATGTTATTATCTTTTCCACCACATTCAATAAATAAGATGCAACCGCTATATGTTTCGATTTATAGATAAATCACAAAGTTTTTCGAACAAGGAATCGATACAGTTTAAGAAAATCGTTCTAGAAGAACAATTGATAGATATAAAATAGCTAAACTATTCAACGGAGATTGTATATGCAAGGGAACAGTACAAAATACTATAAAAAGTTTCTGTACATCAAGAATTTGGCAATATAATACTAATATTTTCAATAATATTAAAATGACTGTTACTAAATGTTACTCAAAAACCACTGAATACTGCTAGCATGACTAATCGTTCTGTAGACAAACAATAAATAAACTCTTTCGCAAAAATATCAAATGTTTATTCAAATTTACCTGTTAATGCTTGTGATATCGAGACATTAATTACTATTTTGGAAATTAGGCGAATTCCAAAGATATCCGTCAAAAAGCTAACTAGAAGAAATAGGTACTAGAAAGCTGAATTATTAATATCAAATTGAATTGTACAGAAAAAAGCATCGAAATTTACAAAATAAAATAATAAGTTGATTAATACAAACAAATTGATTGGGCGCCAGACATTGATCATTATCAAATCTGAAATTATACTTAGGACCAATGCCTCTCCAAATTTGATTAACTGAGGCAATTCGTGGTTAAAATTAGCGTTATGAGCATATGCAAAATAAATTTAAAAAATGACGAAATTTATTGCACGAAGGCAACCAAAATAACAAAGAACAAAATGATAATCATAAATCAGAATTGCATTATAATAACATAATTTTTGAAACCCTTTTTGAGCACGCGACGAACAAGCTGCAAGTAATTCTCATTTGTAAGCGGCTGAATTAATATTGAACAATAAATTGAACAAAATGATCCGCGAGGATAAATAAATGGAAAGGGACGAAAGCGTGGGAATACGTGGGAAAACAAATAATAATACGTACTTTGAGATGGAAAGTCCTGCGAATTTAAAGGCAGGCCAGAGAACAATAAATGTGATTGATAAAATGATGGACACGTATCCAGAAGCAAAGCAAAATATAGTTTTAGGCAAATTGACAAACAATGGAAAATGTAATCGCTTAATACAGACTCCTGTCATTACTTACTTAAGCGCAGATGTTACAATTGGCTGTGCCTCTCAACAATCGGTAAATCTACAGTAATTAATTAATAATAATTAATTAATTACTTAATTAATTAATTAATAATTAGGTAAGTAATCAAAAGGCGGTAAATTATTTGACAGCTTCAGTGCCATGCTGCTCTTGACAAACAAAATCAAATCCCGGAGAATAACGAGAATCGCTCGCAAAGACT